ATTCATTTCTGTATATGGGAGGCTCCGCAGTGACAATGCGTAAGTGGTAAATATGGCTGCCCTGAACTGAATTCCGAGTGTAATGGTTTCACTTTCTGTTAAAAGATCTGCCCCTCCCCTCTCCTTTTCTTCTCTCTGCCAACTGTCTGGGTTGACTCTTGACACATCAGACACACCAGGTATTCTGTCAATTCCATCTCCTTGGAGACATGTCTTCCAGAACCTTCTTACCAGCTCCAAAGTGAACTGATTGTCCTCTGCGCTCAGTATACAGAGGAAACCCAGGATCTCACCTCTTCATCCTGGAGATTCCTTCCCTTTCTTGTCAGACCCTCTGTTTCTCGAATCCCTTACAGCCCTGTGGTTTGGTTTACTCTCTTCCTTTGGAGAGAGTCCTTCAGGATTTTCCTGATAAATGGTACATGGGAGGTAAATTTTTCTTAGGCTTTGTAGGTTGAAAATGTCTTTATTCTATCCTCCAACTTAATTGATGGTTTGATCATGAGATTTCTACATTGGAAATTATTTTTTCTCAGAATTTTGAAGGCATCGTTCTATTTTCTTTTAATATCCCGCATTGCTATTGAGAAGTCTTATTGTTTATATAACCTGTTTTTTCTCCCAGGAAGCTATTATGATCATTTCTTTGTTCTCTGGGTTCTGAAGTTTCTCTGGGATGATGTGACTTGGGAATCCACTTGCAGTTAACTGGACCACGGGCTCCAGAGACTCACTGAGTTAAAATCCTCATCCCTACCTTGTAGGGTTATTGTGAGAATTAACGAAACCAATACCTGTAAAATGCTAAAGATAGTATCTACCACTTAGTAAGTACTAATCATTAGCTTTTATTAATATTTCAAATACAGAAAATAATTTCCTAGAGTTCTGGAAAGTTTCCTTGAATTATTTCATTGATATCCTCCCGTCTGTTTTCTCTATACTCTTTTTCTGGAACTCCTATTATTTGTATGTTGGTTGTCCTGTAATAATGTTCTCCTTTAAATTTTTTTTTTTCTTTATCTTTTTGAATTTTTTTTTCTGTGTGTGTCTTCCTTGTCCTACCCTATGGGAGATTTCCTCAGCTTTACCTTCTGAACTTTCCTTTCTGTTTTTAATTTTTTCTATCCTATTTTGTATTTCCAAGTTATTGTGTTTTGTTGTTTTTCTCTGAATGTTCTTTTTAAATGGCATTCTCTTTGCTAGGGTCTGAACGCATCCCCCAAATTTCATGATTTGGAAACTTAATCCCCAAGGCAACAGTGTTGGGTGGTGGAGGCTTTGGGAGATGTTTAGGTCATGAGGGCTTCACCCTCATGAATAGATTAATGTCATTATAAAAGGGCTTGACAGAGGGATTTTGGTCTCTCTCTTTTGCCTTGTGTCTTTCATCATATGAGGACACAGTGTTCTTCCCCTCTGGAGGATGCACCATCTTAGAAGCAGAGACCAGGCTCTCATTGGACACTAAACCTGCTGATGCCTTGATCTTGGACTCCCAGCTTCCAAAACTATGAGGACTAAATTTCCATTCTTTGTAAATTACCCAGTCTCAGGCATTTTGTTACAGCAGCACAATATGTACTAAGACACTCTTTTGTTTGACGACAATATTTTCTTATCTCTCTCTGAGAATACTAATTTTTTGAAGTTTCATTTCCCTGTAGAATCTTATTTCCTTAAAGATTCTTTTTATTTTTTTATCCATGTTTACTTGTTTTGGACTCTGTCTTCATGTTAGAGGTGTTCCATAGATGGAGGTCTCCCTGGCTGCCTGCTAAGAATGTGTATGAGGGGCACACTAAAAAACCCCATGGGAAGCTCTGAGTGTGTGGGAAAAGCTTGTCAACTGTGGGCTGCATGTACTGGGATTTGACTGGGATATTGTGTTAGGATCTCCCAATATCAATGTCCTTAGGTCTTTCTCTTTGGCTGGGCAGATTTCCAAGTGAAGATTCTTGCAATCTCCTGCCTGGAGGGTAAGAGCTTGACTGCCAATATTCTAGAGATAGTTCAACTCATTGTTTCAATACAGCGCACTGCTCTCAACTCTGGATGATGTTTCCCAGCCTGGAGACCATCCATTTACCCTCTGTTGGGGAATGGGAGAGGCAGTTCCCTTGCTATCGGAGGTGGGGAAGTAATCTGTGATCTGTTTCTTATACAAACTGTCAACCAACCCCCTTATTTTGAGCCTCCTTCACCTCACTTCTAAAGTTGTGAGATGCTGCCAATTCCAAGTCTCTTGGGGTTTCTGTGATTCAAATCAGATTGTTTCTCGGCTTTCCTTACTGACAATTTAGAGCAGCTTCTCAGGTCTGAAAAGTTAGTTTTTACTCATCATTATGCTTTCCAGCTTTTACATTTTTGTTTCTATCAGTTCTTCTCCTATTCTCTTTGCTTTTGTAGGTTTAGGCCCTTAAAAACCTGTTCAATGTTGTTTTAGTGGGTTTCAGAAGGAAGCAGAGGCGATTGTTTCACCCCCAAGTTTAAGTGCAGTCTTAGTTAATTTAAAGTCCATCAACAATGAAGTATTTTTATTTCAACCTTAATAACACAGACAGCCTTCTGTTGGAATGTCTTTGGGCATGAAGGACAATATATCTTTGTGGCTTATGTGCAGAGGCGATATTCAAAATACCAAACAACTGGTGTGGTATAAGCACTGACCAATCAAAAGACACAGCGTCATTACTGATGCCTGCTGGCTGCGTATTATTGCAATGGGTGTGTGAACAAGGAGAAGCCACTTGAAGCAAAGATGAGCATAGCGTGGATTGGAATGCTAGGTAAAGTTCTGTTGTGAAGCGTGGTTTTTTTGTTTCCTTGACCCTGTGCCTTGAATATAAATGTTGGCCTTGAGAGGGAGAATGATTGTGCAAGGGAAGAGGTGGCTGAGTGCTGTGAGATGAATTTCAACAGGGTGAGACTGATAAAGAACAAAGAAAATAATTGTTCCTGCCAGGGAGGCAGCCCTGGACCGCAGATTCTCAGCTCAGGGTTAGAGCAATAAGAGGTGAAGAAAAGACACAATCTTTAAAGAAATTTGGTCACTCCAATTTTGGATTCATATATGCTCCCTGGAAGTATGTTTTTGTTTTTTCAATTTAAAAGGAAATACTGTAACATAGATTCAGAATGAGAGTAAGAAGAATGGGAGGACACCTCGGATGTTCTCAGTGTCTTTCTGAATGAGAAATATCTGGGGATGACATTTTCATTGTTACTCTCCATCGATGGTTAAGCCAGGCCAAACACAGGCGTTTCCTAATTTCTATTCTAGAAAATCAAACAGATGTTTCCCTCCCCTCTAGGAGCTTGAAAGTTTACCACATAAAGAGTTTACAGACTGACACTCAAAACGATGTATTGATAATAGGAACGGCAATTCAGAGGGACCAAATAGTCTCAGTTGATGAGAGAAAACTCTACTTTACATAAGAGTGCTATATAATCCTGTAATAATTCCAAATACCTTTAGAATGAAAAATCCAAATGTATCCAAAAATCACCATTTGCAACCTCTAGTGAAATAATTGATTCGGACAAAGATCATTAACAGATGCTAAAACCACTACTTGAAAGGGGAGGGTAACTGGGTATTCACATGGTTCCAAAGTAACGTGTGTAGAGTACTTACTATTTGCCAATAGAAGATGTTTCCTTTATGGTGGGTTCTGCGAATCTAATTAAACACCATATCACTAAGTGTGAGACACACAGACATGTGGACCCTGATGTGATATAATAAGAAAACACAACATCACCTCTGAATTATATTTGCCAAAAATACTTACCCTGAATCTAATTAAGCTTTGAGAACTAACTTCCATCTTAGAGGACGGGGCATAGAGGAACTAGTTAGCTGATACCACAAGGAAAACATCAGACAAATCCAGAATGTGGGACATTTTGCAACTGGCCTTATCTTTTTAAAAATAGGCCAGGGCAAGTAGACTGGTCTAGATTAAAAGAGATTTAAAAGACATAACCATATGTTAGGTATGTTCCTTGCTTGGATTTTGGTTGGAAAAAGTATACAAGATATTTGGGGGACAATTGAAGAAATTTGAATACAGATTGAACATTAGACACATTACAGAACCAGTTTTGTGAGGTGTCATAATGGTATTGTAGCTATGTGATAAAATGTCCTTTTTTGGGGAAAATGCATGCTAAGGCATTCAGGCATGAGATTTCATGATGTAGTATACTTTGAAATAATTTAGCAAGGATAAATAAATAGATTTGAAGCAGATATGGCAAAATGTTAACTGGTATTGAATCAAGATGTGGGTGTTCAACTGTTTTATTCTACTTTTCTGTTTGTTTGAAATTTTTATATTAAGAAGTTTAGGGAAGTGGCCTGTAGATGCAAAATTGCGTAAACCTGATCTGACAGTTTGGGGAAGAGCAGGAGTGAGTGTCTCAAAGGGCCACATTTACACTGGGTACCCAGGAAGTGCACTGGCCCTAAGTCCACCAGCGTAGTGGAATAAATGAGAGTTCTGGAAGAGTTCATGTACTTACAGAGTGCCCAGGTTATTGTCAGGAATAATTTACTCCCTGGAAAGATGAGACTGAATAATTCATGTTACAACAGCAATGACAATACTCATGTTTGGTGGTTGTTAGTTGGGTTTCCCCCAACACATTAAAGTCACCTAAAATTACCTCCTTCGCATGTGAAGTTTTAGGGGTGTGTTTTCTTTCTTTCTTTCTAGGGGTGTATTTTCTTTTTCTTTCTTTCTTCCTCACTTTCTTTCTTTCTTTCCCCTCCTCCCTTTTTTTCCTCCCTCCTTTCTTTTCTTTCTTTTTCTTATACCAATTCTTTCTCCAAACAAGATGAAGTAATTGTCCCATCAACTCAGGGATAGATGTAGAGTGTTAGTTAAAATGCAGAATTGCTTCCTGCAATACTAAACTGTTCTTAAATATAGTCGTTGCTTAAGAAGTGTGTTTGCTGCCCTGTCCAGCTCTGCTTTTTGATGTGATTTCAGGGAGCTGGACTGTGCCATGTTACGCCGTCTGGAGAAGAGGATTCTGGTTGATCTCCCCTGCAGGGAGGCCAGGCAGGCCATGATCCACCACTGGCTGCCCCCTGTGAGCAAAAGCACAGCCCTGGAGCTGCGCACAGAGCTGGAGTACAGCGTGCTGAGCCAGGTGGGCTGCCCCGGAGGGGAGAGCGTGCAGGCCAAGGGGCCACCGCACGGCCGTCTTCTAGACAGGGTCTTACCATGAGCCGTTAGGCGCTTGAGACACTTAGAAAAGATTCAAGCTGCCCCAGCAATGCAATGGGCTCTTCCTCATGAAAGAATGAGCTCTTTGTCACTTGGAAACATTCAAGCAGGGAGTCACGATGTGAGGTAGTAGAACTAGCCTAGGGTTTAGACTCAGGGAACCTATGGTCAAATCCTGGCCCTGCTGTTTGTTAGCTGTGTGACCTCAGGGAAGTCACTTACTCTCTGAGCCTCAACGTCTCCATCTGTAAAATGGGTAGCAGATAAGGATTACTGTGATGATTAAATGAAAATCTTTCGCAAGCAGAAAAGCTCTAGGTATGTGGTTGTTACCTCATTATCACTGTGTCCATTCTCAGGGTGCCGTAGAAGTGTTGCCTGCTTTGGGTGAACACCTGAACACGATGTTCTCTGAGGTTCCTCAAAGGCAGGCATGATCTTAGTTACAAGAACAAAAGTGCCTCCCAAATTTGCTCATCCTTGGATATGAACACAAGGTCCCCAGTAGGCTAACTTGGGCAGGCCAGTGTGTTAGGAAGTTGTTTTCTTTGCCCAGCTACTTAAATTATCCAAACATATTTGCAGCATTCTTCCTCAAGCACTGTTTGTCTGCGAATCTTCATCTAATGTTCATGGGTGACAGACACGGAATCTAAACAGGGCTCCTGATACCGGGTCCTGCCTATAAGACTGTAATGGCCACTGGCATTCTGCCTGCTGACCAACGGCTGGGTTTGTGGCTGTTTCAGGAGACTGAGGGCTACTCAGGCTCAGACATTAAGCTGGTCTGCAGGGAAGCAGCCATGCGGCCCGTGAGGAAGATCTTCCATGCGCTTGAAAATCACCAGTCAGGTATGGTTGAGATCACACCGCAAAAGTGCTCTGGGAGGGAAATTTGTGTTGAAAAGTCCAACTCTCACCAGCAGATGGCGCCCGGAGCCTGTTCTTGGCAGCTCTTTACACTCGCAACACGTTCTTTGGTCAGAGCATCCTTCCTGCACTGAACTCATCCCTCCCTTGGTGTTCTGTGCTGGGTGGACTTTGCTCGCAGATGATAAACTCCTTAGGGCTCAGGCTTTTATTTCTCTGGCACACTCTGATGTTGGGCTAGATCCATTTGAAGCACTATATAAATATTAAATAATACTTTGATAACGATACATTTAAGTCACATTTTTTTGTCTGGCCTTTAGGGGCTAACTCCAGTTGCACATTAAAGAATTTTTTCCCCAGCCCTCTTTAGTCTTGCCTTTTGCTGCGTTAACCATTAAGAATGCTGCATTATGCATTGTCTTAAAAGAAGGTCTGTTAGTGTTTGAAGAGCATTGATCACCAAGAGGTCGATTGTTGCGCTGTTACTGTTGTGTTTTTACCTAGAGAGCAGCAATTTACCTGGGATCCAGTTGGATACAGTGACCACTGCCGACTTTTTGGATGTGCTAGCTCACACCAAACCCTCCGCAAAGAATATGACTCAGAGATACTCAGCCTGGCAGAGAGAGTTCGAGTCGGTTTGAAATCACCTTTACCCTGACCTGGCCACAAAGGCAACCACAGAAGCCTCCTAATTTATTAGTGTAAGTGAGAAGAGAACATAATGATTGGAATGGAAAAGAGAAAATTATTCTTGAAGACTGGATTAATTTCAACAACTGTATTGTTTTGGGACTCTGACATATTTTCATTACTTGATCATTATTGATGTCAGCAAAATATAGAAGATTTCAGCTATATATATATGTGCTATTAGGTCATGCAATGGAGAATTTTCTTACAATTCGATTCCATAAAATCTTCGTGAACAATTTCCTGTGATGTTCCTTGTTTGTGAACTTTTAGAAAAGTTGTGTTGGCCTTGCATGGGATGGGCCTGACTTGGGGCAGCCAACAGCAGCTGAGCTTGACAGACCATCTGACTGGCCGGCAGTTCAAGGGTGGGCAAGGGTGGGCGCAGAGGGGGAAAGGTGTCTGCCTCTCTCATTCCGAATCTCATCCGCTCCCCTGATTCTGACCCCAACCAGCTTCCACAAACCCTGTCCAAACCAGCCCCGCTTGGAAATTCACTGAGTATTTTGATTCTAGAGCTAATAGCAGGGGTGACTACACACCATCATCACCAGCTACCAGTCTGTCTTGAGTTCTGGTCCCAATAGCGTCTTTTGACACTTTGCGCATCTCACATTCAGCATTCTGTGCCTTTCTCCTTCCTTGTCTGAGGCTATCTGAGTGCTGTATTTGCTTCAGACTCTAAACATCCACAGCTTAGGATGGGGCACCTGAGCTTCTAGAACACTCGTCCTGAGCCTTCCCTGCTTAGGCTCCTCCCCGGCTCCTTATGGGGAGGAGCTCAGAAGCATCTCTCTCAAAAACCCACAATCCGAGGCATCTCCTTTCAACTCCTGATGAACTTTGAAGGCTTCCACTAAGTGCCGCCACTTCTCTCCCACACTGGGACTTACCTATGAACATTTTCTTTTCTTTTCCTTGCCTCGTTTTCTTCATCCCTGCAGGCAGATTCCTCCAGAGAGCAAAAACTCCCAGGAAAAGAGGCATTTTGGATGGCTAAGTATTCCAAAGGATTTTACCCTTTAAGCACAATGAAGGCTTTTTTTCTGGTATTGATTATTTTGAGTGGATTATTCTCAAATGCCTCTTAAAATGTCATTTCGTGGAAATTGTAGTCAAATTGAAAATATGCCTTATAGAACAAATTTAAAATAAAAAAGATTTCAGTTTATGCTGAACTGAAACTTCTTCATGAGCATTAGGTACTGGTCGCTGCAGTGCTATCTCAGATCTGCCTGATGCCCATCGGTATTCTTTACCAAACGGCCAAACATAGCAGATAGGCTTCCAACTCCCTCCCTCCCCGCTCTGGCCCTAGTGTTCCAAGGGAGCAGGGACCAGAGGAGCACTGTAGAATGAGCGGATCCACACCCAATTCCCGTTTCCAGCTGTGTCTCACCCCGGCCCGCCAGCATGCCCACTGTCCCCGAGGCCTTAATTCCATGGTTCCATCTTTCCAGAGAATAATGGAAAAACCCCATTCTCCTGCCTTGGCTAGGGATGATCATCTGCTGCTCAGGGTGGGGAGAGTTTCTAAGGCTCCAATTTTCAGCCAGGTCCTCCCTTTTCAACCCTGCCTTCCACCTCACTTCCTCTCTGCCTGCTACCTCCAAGCCTTCAGGATGAATTTTGGTTGTATTTTCTTTGCACTGATTTTAGTTAGCAACATTCCATCTACTTTCCACCTCCCAGATTACTGTATCTTTTCGTCCACTGGTGTCTCCTCTACCATTCTTTATGAGCTGTCCTTTAGGGCTTATACCTTCTTTATTCCTTTACTCTTATTTTAGTGGGGCTTTGAGAAAAAGAGACCAACTAACATAGGATTTACCTACTCTGTTTAGAGTCTCTATGGTTATTTTTTAAAAATTAAAGTATGTGTTAAGTTTATATAGGAGATTGGTCTGGTAGTTGTTGGAGGAAGATTTAACTTAACCCAACAAGTGGTATTTTCTTCTAAAGCAGAGGTGACAACTCAAAGGCCTACAGGAGCATGAAACATGGCAGCAAATGAGAGAAGTAAGCTGAGAAGGCAGAGGTGGGAACTGTGGCAAACTGGAGAGGGCCAGAGACCCCCTGAAGGACACAGCAGTGACTCGGCTCCAACTGAGCACGGAAATTTGCACCTAGCATTGCCAGCTCCTCCAATCCTCCTAGAAAACCCAGTGATAGATTTGCATTTCAACGTCCTGATGTTCAGGTGTTGGCCACTAAGGTTAACTATCTGCCTGTAGAATTCACGCGGCCTGTTCCCACTCATTCACATCACCTGCAGAAGGCTTCCCTGACAGCCCACACTTACCTGAAGCCCAACCGCATCCCCATTAGCTGTATTCTTCTCCATCGCTTATTGGTATCTCTCACTGCATTAGGTATTGTGTACACGTGCACGTGTTTCATTGCCTGTTTACCTTCCTCAAATGTAAGCTCCAAGATTGTGGTACTTTTTTCCACTGCTAAAGAAACATTATTTAAAATGGCGTAGTAGGCCCAAGGCTAGCCGAGTGCTGCATTTGCTTCAGACTCTTTAAGTTGTGACTACTATTCCCGTGCGCTAGCTCTCTGCACGTGGTCTCTTGTCTTAGAGAGAGGAGTTACACAAAACCATTTTGAACTTGTTGGAGCACTTTGTGTCGTTAGATATATTTTTACATGTTTCAGTTCCCCAACTCGGAGATACCCATGTTAGGAGCAAGAGCTACATTTGGTTCCATCTTCCTGCTTTACCTACAGGGGGCATTTAATAAATATCTAATTTTCTCAGGCACATCAGCCAGCCAAACAAACAGGAGTTGAGCTGTGTATGACAGGTAAGCATTGGAAAAAGTAAGGTATTCAAAACTGTCTGATTTTAGGAGTTATGCACTTTGTACCATGACAAATGATTTCTGGAACTCTGACACCTTGTTACTGCTCCTTAAAGATAGCAACATGCTTTGAGATAGAAAACATTGATGGCTGGTATGATACAAAAGCCAGCAGAGGCCTCGTGCATTTATGCCGAAAAAAGGCTTTTGTGACTTGTGTCAAATAAACATGATAATGCAAACATGGCCCTATGCAAACAACCGCTAATATGATACAGGGATGTTACTACTCAAGGTAGTGTTTTAGTGAAACAGATTAGTATGGTTTTCAAAATTCTTTATTATAGGTGCTCAAGGACTTCAGTTTTAGCCTATTAATGCATGGACAACCATTGATCCAAAACCAACTGTACATAATCAATGTAGGTGTGTTCTTAACTTCCCTGTCCAATATGCTACTGTAAGTTTTAAAATGTGAGATTAAGGGTGAAGTGACATCCTATCATTCCAAGGGAAATTCTGACATCACAGCTATAGGTAAAGCTTGGTGGAACCGTCACTTAGAGTGAGGCGGGCTAGCCCCTTTTTCCTCTCCTGGCCATTACAATCAGCTGTTACAGATGCTGAACGCTAGGAGGTAGGGCCCCTGCGAGCCCGTGGCTGACTCTGGAGGCGTGAGTGAAGCAGGTGGGACCACTGTGTGTCCTCCCCTGCATGGGCTTTGCCCTCCTCCACACTGCTTATGCACCTGGCTCCCAGCAGATGGGAGACACCTAACTCCTGACAATGGGTGTTCTCTAATAACCTCTCTAGTCCCAAGATGTCCCTTGGTCCCTTTTCTGGCCCATAACAGGGTTACAGTAAAACTGATATAAACATTGTCCTTGAGGTTAATACCCACAAGATAGCCCCTTAAACGGGATGGCTGGAAAATGAGGCCTTTTAGATACTGCAGTTACTAAATATCCACCGTGAGGCCCAAGGCAGACTAACCAGCCACGACCAACATTGATTGGAATGTTTACAGCAACTTGACCTAAATTAAGATTTTTAGTTATCCTCATGAATCTGTGGACAGGTAAGTTAGCAAGCCCTATATGTTTTTTGTTAACTGAATATCTCAAAAGATTTTCATGGCCCACAGGGATGAAGTAGAATGGAGGAAAGGAGAGAACTGTTTCTCCTGGCTGGGTATGTTATGCTCAGATCTTACCCACTCCTGTTACCCTGTTGACTCCCTGACTCATCAGTGATGTCCACTTCTTTGCTTTAGCTCTAACCTGCCTCCAGAGCACCAGATCCGTTACTTCCAAGTGTCTGATGGGGCCTCCCCTATAGGCATCTTTAAGGCAACAAGTCCAAAATGAAACAGTTTCTACTCCGTACTCACAGCTATGCTTTCTAGCCTTAAATCCCTGTGATATTTACATGGCTCAGTAGCCACCTGAGTGCCTGTGTTGCAGCAGATATAAAAAAGAATGAGATGCAGTCCTGCCGAGTGGGGGAAGAGCCAGGTGAAGATGTAAGTGCACCCTACCAAAAGCCACGTGGGCACGATGGAGGGGATGCCCTGCTCCATCCCGCAGTCAGGGAAGACATCAGAGGAGGGGACACTGGAGTTGGGTCTTCACAGTGTTCTTGAGTAATGTCTTACGTACTCTCCTTAGCACCTCAACTAGAAAAGGTCCTCAAGGCAAAATCCTTTTCTTACACGCCTATTTCCCGCACTCATCAGGGCACTCAGTGCACAGCAACCAGCAAACACCTGATGATGCTTGGTCCAAGGCATCGCTGACCCGGGCGCCCCAGAAACAGGCAGAAGTTGAGCACAGCCCATCCACCAGGCGCCACACAGACCTCTCCTGTGCCGAGCTTCTCTACGTGGCTTTGCCCTGAAGAAGTCAGAATGTAGTAGAGTATCTCTTTTTTTTTTACTCCTCACGAAGACTTTCTCCGCTGAGATAACTATAGAGACAAATTTTACCAAGCCTTTTCAGATTGTTAAACGTGGACGGTCTTGCCACACCTGCATCATCATAGCAAACGCACAGCACGGACCATCTGCCCAATTCTATTCTAAGTACTTAATACATGGTTCACGCATTTAACGTTCACACCGACTCTCCCTGGTGGGCGCTATCGTCATCCGTAAAATGGAGATTTTACAGGTAAGGAAAGAAGGGATGAGAGGCGAGGTGACGCGGCCAAGGTCAGAGGGCTGGTTAAGTGCTGGGCAGGCTCCACGGTCTCTGCTCTTAGCTACTCCCCTCATCCTGCTGATTTGGAGTGTTCGTCACATCACATCTGTCTTTTACAGTCCAGGGAGTGTTAAGAGCTAAGTTGGGGTATTTGCAAAAACAAGAACGGAGTGCTCACCAAACTACCATTTATTTAGCTTTCCTCCCTTCCATCTAAGACCAAGCTGATCTCTAAACAAGCATCAAAAGCCGAAGCTCATTAACATCAGTGTGAGTTTCAATAAGGTGAACACTACAATCATGTACAATTACATTCTAATAATTCAATGCCCAAGAGCCCTGTGAAACAACTGCGAAGGCCCAGGATTATCACAGTATGCAAATGCACCAGGAAAATCATTACCTACTTAGTCCCCTTCATTTTGGTGGGTTTAACAGGAGAAGAATAATCCATGCTCCAAGACGAGATTTCATTTTACAGCTGTAGTAACCAAGTACATAAAAGCTTGAATCTGTCCCAATAGCTTCTAAAAGATTTTTCCCAGAGTGTCAGAGGCAAAAATAATGAAATCTTGCAAATGTACAGTTAATAGGACCCTGGTGGACACTAACTTCAAAAATGCATGGTCTGTAAGACATTAAAGGCTTGATTTTAGTTTCTGCACTGTTCCTGTTAATAACAATGTCTAATTAAAACATCTGTAAAATACTGATAGTTTTAATTTTACATAAAATTTCCAAAACAACTGTTACACGGTATAATAGGTATCTGCAATGAATAGGTTATTAATGGAAATATTATTTTAAATTAAAATCCGGTTCTAAATTTAAATTAGTCATCTCTGGCTAATGAAGAGAAAAGAAGTCACCCGTGCTGGGAATACAGTAGAAAATCTACTTTTCAACATCTGTTAAAGCAAATTCACTGTCTCACTTGGGCGAAAGGACAATTCGCTTTGCTGCTTATGTCTTATACTCTGCTTGGCACTTCTGATGGAGTTCACAGTTGAACTTGATATTAAAACTACAGCCTAATGCACCTTTTAGTGCATTACTTTATAATTTAAAAACCACCATTCGACTTTATTCACAGTCTGAATTCCCCCCTCCCCTCCTGTTTCCCAGTGAGGAGACAGCAGCGAACACTCGCCCCCGCAGTAGCGTCTCCCTCCCAGGCCTGCCCAACCTGATGAATATTTTAAAAGGAATGGCACAAAATCTCAGCTTTCCCTTTCTTTGGGTCTCATCTTCTGTTACCAACTAAAACAAAAGGGATTAGTGAGGCTTAGTTGCTGGCTGCAATTCAATGCCTTTCTTTCTAATTAATGCACAATAAAAGAGGGTTAAAACAGGATCAGCACTGAGTGGTACGTGTCTATCGATGCTGGCATTGAGTTGGGAAGGGATTCATTCCAGACAATGAAAAGCTGCGTTTAGAGTTGCTTCAGATGCACGTAATGGTTCACAGTAGATGCTGCAGAATGTGGTCCACAGCGTGAGGAAAGCTCTCACAAGTCAAGTAAGGAGGTGGATTAATTTTTTCTTCATCTGCTGCTCGGTATTTCCCTGAAACGAAAGTAAAGTCAGTGAACAAAGGCTACGGCCAGCATGCCAAATGACTCCTAGCCCGTGAGCACCTGGGCCGCCACAGAACCACTCTCACAATTACTAGACAACCAGGGGTTCCGCATCTCCCAAAGCACCTGGTATTGAGGCTTTAGGGTGCAATGAGGCAATTCGAAGAAATGTCACATTCAGCGTTTTCCCAGGCCCTTTGGTCATTCACAATGGACAGTCACAGGTACTGGGTCACCTGACAGCTAAAGCTCCCTTCAAATCGTTACAGTTGATGAGATCATTTTCTTTCCCCTACCTTCAGCCCTAAAGACAGAATGGTGATTAAATCCACGCTTTAAAATGGAAGCCCAGGCCCCACAGGGCAGAGGCCTCGTCAGCAGCACGTGCTGCTGCCAAGCAGAGGCCTGGGGAGCCTGGCAAATGAGCGCCCAGGGCCGGGGAGGGAAGGAGTGATGGATGCTCACGCTGGGGCCAGGCAGGACAAGCCGCAAGGCAGGCGCCACATGACAGGCTCACTGCCTAACTCTCCCCGACGCTTGAATTCAAGACAGCCTGCTGTTCCTAGTGCCTGGCATATAATTGAACACCGAACGCAGCAGAGGAATCATTCCGCATGGTGGTCACAGAGAGCTTCTGCAAATGTAAATCAGAAGGCGCATGGTACCTATTTAAACACCCTTAACGGGTCCCAATACCCTTCAGAAAGAATCCAAAATCTCTACTGTTGCCTACCGGGCCCTTTGTCATCTGGCCCAGCGACCCTCTAACCTTTGCCTGTGCTGCTTGCTCACCAGGCTGCAGCCCTAGACTGCACCTGGCTCCTTGGAGGGCCTTCACACCTGCATTCCCTGGGCCTGGAACCTTCTCCTCACCTGACTGCCTCCTTCATGCTCGGGGTTAGACCCCACCTTCCATCCAAATTAGATCCCCTGCTTGTTCTTCCCTCTCCTAGCGCCTGTTCTTTGCCTCCACAACATTTACAGCAATTTGTAATTATGCATTTGTTTAACGTCTGTCTCACATCTAAGACTGGAGGTTCCCTGAGAGCAGGAACTATGTGTGTTATACGCCCTGGTGTACTCCTAGCACCTAACACGGTGACTAGCACACAGTAAGCATTTCATAATTTTTTTTTAAAGATCGGATGAAGGAACGGAGGGAGGGAGGGAGGACATGCCGAAGGCAGGTCCCACCCTGAGCTACTAGGGCTGCCTCTGCACTTTGCCTCTCTCCTTGCTCTCTCATCCCCTTTTCTGTCACCTCTGCTATTTATTCTTCTGCTTTTCCCAGTTTTCTCTGCCTAAACCCAGCTCCCTCAACAATGGACCCACCGTTTTCTACAACTACCACTTTAAGAGGCTTTGCCTAGCAAACACGAAGCCTGAAAAGCCCCATTTTCCACACTTTTGCATTGGGGTGAAGCTGCTTCCTCTCCTATCTTGCTGACCATAAATTCTTACCAGAGAGGAACCCGCGTCAGATGGACAGAGGTAATTAATACATAGCTCACTCACACTAGCACTCTCAAGGCGCCTGTCCACAGTGCGGTCCACGCAGCAAATTCTACTGATGGTTTTTTTCTCAAGCTGAAATCCCATTAAGTATGTATTCCTTTGCAAGGTTTCTACGGGCCTTATAGGTAAATTAGTGACTAACTATTGCTATACCACCTACGTCCTGGATCCAGTGGCCCAACGGGGAAATACATAAGTTTTTTGTCCATGGAGTTAAGGGTTTCTAGAATGCTTTTGCTTAGTCTCGCTCTGCAAGTGGGGTTCCTAAAAAATTGACACAAGTGGCTTAGGTAGATGTTCTAGTTCTAGCACCTAGCACTGTGCCTGGTACACAGCAGGTGCTCAATAATGTCTGCTGAGCGAATGAAGCAGCCTGCATCACTCAAGCCTGACTCACTTGCTGCGGCAGCCTGTGCTCTCCTGGCTGGGTGAATGATGAATGGAGGGAGAATACAGGAAGCGATGTTGATGACATAGGACAAAGAGAGATCCCATTTTTTTCTAAATGATTGTTTCACATGGTAAACAGAAATAAATTCTGGTTAGGATTAGTCAAAAATCTTTATTAACAAATAACTCAGCAAATGTATACTGAGCATCTATTTTGTGCTGCCCATTGAGAAACAAAATTGCTCAAGGCTATCCACAAAAAGCAGTTATTATTGAACGTGCATTAAAATATTTACAGTAATTGTTAAACACTGGGAAGCCTAGCACGAGTCCACTGCACTGAGTTACAATCTGTCAATGGAGCTGGCTGTTCTGCACGCTTCTAGAACAGTGGGCTTATTCATGCTTTTTCTGAATGAAGAACAACAGTATAAATGTGCCTGTTTTCATGAGCCGGACTTAGATGCTTTACTAATTATACATGTTGGATTTGATTGTGTTATCCCATTGGCTTCTCTAAGACTAAACTGATGCCTCTGTGACAGGCCGGTCACAACCAACTGCCAGTCAGAAGAGAGGGCAGAGCCAGCGGAGACCGGCCAGGGGGAGCTGGGCCTACCCGGACACGGGCACAGGTCCCGTTGTGCTGCTTAGTAAATCCTTACTTACGTGAGCTAAAGAAAGAAAACATTCATGAGAATAATACACAAGGGCAAAAACAGTTACCTGAGGATTTCTTCAATGACCAGAAAATACAATTGCAAAAGGCAGGAATTTGAAAATAAAGATACAAGGGAGTGTGGCTATTTTTCTTGACTATTTCACACTTCTATCACGGGGCTGTAATGTTCCTAGGAAGGTGATGATCATTTCGACTGGGGAATTAGAAAAGACCCACTGCACTGATTCTAGAGTGATGGGGTCACCGTCTGCAAGGCTCCAGTGGTTCACTCCAGGCCCCAGGACCAAGCAGCCGGTGTTTTCAGTCTTTGTTCATGGGGAACCTTGCCACACACTTCTTATCCAATTGTAGCTCCAACTGCATATTCTTATTTCTATTTTTAAAGTCAAAATAGTTTTTATGCAACCACACTTTCTTGAACAAACATCACAGTCACTTTTTCTAAAAAATTTCCCAACTAACTCTTCTGTGACTTTTATATTTAAATCTTCCCTTTCGTGAACAGCCTGTTAAAGACTTTTACTACCATTATATGAAACCAGGCAAATGAGCTCACAGAAACATCTATGGAACTATTTATCCGCTACTGGATTTATAAGAGCCCTGTGACAATCACTGGACGAGATTTTTGGCTGTCACGTGCTATTAGTTCCAAATGTAGCAGGGGTCATTTGGAGGCGGGGTGAAGGGCAGGAACCTTTTCATTATAAATGAAAAAGCTCATTAACTTCCCAATCCAACCCTACTCACAGCTCCCATATTTGTTCTTTCCTTACCTTGAAAGGACTCCACATGGATTACTACGAGGGCTGGAAGGCACCAGTCCAACCCCATCATGCTTGCAGGGCCCAGAGAGGGGAAGAACCTTGACCAGAGTCTCCCTCAGCTGGTCAGCACAGAGCTGTGACCAGGACCCAAGACACTTACCCAGTCAGTGGTACTCGTAACACTGAATTAGCTGAATCCTCCCCAGCGAGGGCTTTCCTTTTCCCTAAATTTACTGAAGGGACCATACAGAGTAGCCCTAATTTTGGAGCAGGAAATAACTTCCTAAACTTTTAATTACTAAAAACAGTAAGTGAAAAGACAAGAAAAAAAGTTTTTTCTTTTCTTTTTTTTTTTAAAGTGCAAAACACTAACACAAAGAATCAGATCACTTAGCTGGTCAGTTCCTAAAGAGATCAACTTCATCATCTTACAGCTGGCACAAAAACAGAAGGGATTTTTACATGGTCCTTTGCTCCATTCTGATGTGGTGAACTATATATCCAGGAAATCATATACATGCTAATCGCCAACTGTGAATGGTTATCTCTGGGTAAGTGTTAAAAGACCTCTGAGCCCTGATCTTCCTACCTTTGTATAGCACAGGCCCTCTCCCAGTGTTTTTTCCCTATAATCCTAAACCCATTTTATTTCTGCTTTGTAGCAGAAAAAGAATAAAAGTGCCCAGGGCTCTGCCATTTCTGAAAAGACTGTTCTTTAAGCAACTATGTATTCAACCATGCTGTTTGAGAAAAGGCTTATGGAGAAGATACATACCAGTTTTCACTAAGATGCCCAGCATGCCGGCATTCTGAGCCCCACCAACATCGTCCCTGCAATCCTAAAAAGCATTAAGAGAGCATTTAGTCCAGTGTCTACAGTTACCTAGCCAACACACCTTACCAACTGATTTAATCGAGTAGGCTAGGATGGCCAACTATAATCCCATGTTTTTTTCTTAAAATAAAAAAGAGAGGAAGATGTAAAAAGGGGTGAATCTCCATGTAATACTCCAAGGAAGCATACCACATTTGGAAGGGAAGAGTAACAGGTGGAAGGTGTACAATAAAGTCGTAATCCCAGTAACCACACAGAGAGTAGAGTTACAATTCTTCATGCTTTGCCACACATACATCTATCTCTTCTTTAAACAGATCATGGAAAAAAGCATTCTATCCATTTGGCGGCTTTTAAAGTAAATAATCCAACTGCAGACAATGAATGAACTAGATTCAGAAGATAGCTTTTCTGCAGCCCACATAATATATTATCCTTACTTTCCATCCAATTGTCCGTAACAGGTAGAATCAAGTCAAATCAGTACACTTAGACTCTGTGGCTGTCTGATGTTCACTTCACACTTGGGAACAACAGATCTGTCTGAAAAGGGAGCTCCTCTATCCAATTCTTATCCAAGACAGGGATAAATATATTTGGTTGATTGTGATGATGAATGCAAGGTAATTAAAAAATCCAAGGACTGGAAGAATCATCAAGAAAATCAACTCTGCCACCTCATGTCTATAAGTGGGATTCTTCAGATCATGCCTGAAGAAAGGTTTTTTCCCTCAAAAATCATTAATATTGTTCAACAGCAGCCCTTGCAAATGAGTTTCAGAATGTCTAAATCTTCATTCAAGGTCCAATTTAAAACCTTTTCTGTTACAGCTAAACTTGCCCTGTTAAAGAGTGGAGATGAGGAAGAGGGAGAAGGAGAAGGGAGGTGGGGAAAAGTCGATGAGGAAGAGGAAGGGAAGACCTGCCACTCTTGGGTAACAACCCTCCACACAGCTGAGCACAGCTGTCACATGCCCGTCCCACCCGCCATCCTGTCCCAGTACCAGCACCTCCTGGGATAAAGAATTCTGAAATCTCCAGCTCAGATAACCACTTCTTCAGACACATTTGTCTAGGAAAGGCAGATAAAGCCTTGCCAAGAGGAACAGGTGTGAATGAAAAGACGGTTTCTCAAAATACCATTGAGTTCAATGATTGTCCTATTTGATTTCAGGAGAATGATTATAGTAACAGAAGATGAAATCAGGAGGACCGGGATACATTTCCACCATCCTAAGACAAGACAGCTAGGAGGGAGTCCAGAGGCCCCAGCAGTTCTACTCCCAGCTGTGCTACTAATTAGCTGTGGGAATTCCGACACGGAGATTGATCTCTTTGGGCTTCAGTTTCCCAGTCTATAAAATGAAGAGGTTTAGAATAGATAATCATGATGGTCCCTCCCAGCTTGACATGTTATTATTTAAAAATTGAATATAATCCTTGCCACCAACTTACCACGTGGCAGTGTGCTTGCCAGCTCCTTTCCCATTATGACACCCTGGAAATGACATTTGCCTAGTATACTGGGGTAAGCTGACAAGGTGCTCATGGCCACAAGTGACCAGCCAGGGCCTCTAATCATCTCAGGCTCAGCCCTGCCACTCAAAGGGCTGAGACAATCAATATCTTTAGCTATTTGTGGCACACTGATTGGGAAGTTCTTCTGTAGAGCATACGCCAAGAAAAAAATCAATATTGGTAGAATTCTTTAGGTATAGAGGTTGTTCTCTGAATAAGTAGCATTCAAAAAAATTTACATTTGTGTAGGGGTTTGCCTCCAAAAGATACATAAAGCATTTAATTGCCTTGTAATAGAATGGTTTTTTGAATTATATGTATTAGGTTATTAAATATGAAACGTCCGATTTCCTTAAGTACTAAGTTTGACAGTTGATATCTCTGACATTTCACTTTGACATTTCTTGTTTTATTTTTATTGTGAAAGTACATCCTCATTCTTTCAAATGCATGGTTTGGCTTGTGATTATCTTCCAAAGTTTTTTAAAGAGCAATTTTTGTGAAACCACGAATAAGTAAAAAGTTTGTGTTATTTTAGAATATAAGTTCCATCCTGGCACCAATGCTGTGCAGACAGCTTGAAATATCAACAAAATGTTTGGGAAAGATGTGGCTAATGAGCACACAATACGACGATGGTTTGAGAAGTTCCATTCTCGTGATTTTAATCTTGAAAATGAGCCACATGGGTGACCTGAGACCAAGGTGGATAATGATGAGCTGAAATCTGTAGTGGAAGCAAATCCATCTCAACCTACGCGTGAATTAGCAGCAAGGTTTGACATTGCTATTCCAACAATATTGGGCCATCTGAAACACATCGGCAAGGTAAAAAAGACGGATAGATGGGTTCTGCATGAATTAAATGAGCGTCAGAAGAGAAATCGTCTTGAAGCTTATCTTTCTTTACTGTCACAACATAAAGGTGAATAATTTCTACACTGTATTGTTACATGTGACAAAAATGGATTCTTTTTGACAATCACAAGTGTTCGGCACCATGGTTGGATAAAGATGAGTTGCCAAAACTCAGTCCAAAACCGAATATTTATCCAAAAAAGCTAACGGTGTCTGTTTGGTGGTGCAGTGCTGGCATTATCCACTATAGCTTTGTGAAACCTGGTCAACTGATTATAGCAATGTCTACAGCAACCAACTGGACAAAATGATGAGGATGCTTGTGATTAAGCAGCTGACACTGGTCAACAGAGACAGGCCAATGCTCTTTTAAGACAACGCTCAACCACATGTCACACAAACAACACTGCTCAAACTACAGAGCAATTTGTAGGAGGTTGGACTTGGAAACTCTCTGTTATCCACCATATTATATTCACCAGACCTTGTACCAACAGACTACCACTTCTTCTAGGCTTTGGACTACCTCTTGCAAGGAAAAATATTCAATTCTCAACAGGCTGTGGAAAATGCCTTTCGCGATTTCATTGCCACTTGCTCTCCAGGTTTCTTTGCTGCTGCCATAAACAAGCTACTACAAAACTGTGTCGACAGTTTAGGTGCATACTTTGATTAATTGTACTGCTTCTTGTTTGAGATATAATAAATTAAACTTTTGATTTGAAATCAGACATTTCCTATTTAATGACTATACACACACACACACACACACACACACACACACACACTATGGAGAACTGTGAGAAATAATTAAAATTTCGGTTCTTTAAAAAAATACCACTGACATCTACAGGAAAGCCCATTTTATAGGTAGCCATTCATACCACCTATATCGTCAGCAACAAGAAGGTCTGCCTCCCCAAAGCAGTGTCTTAAAGCTGGTTCTCCCATCATGACAGGTGAGCTTGGAGCACCTCCTGGGCTCTTCTACTTACATCTCCTATCATGACGGCCTCCTCGGGTTCACAGCCAGTTCCCCGCAATGCTTCCAAAAAGAACGTCCTCTCTGGCTTTCCCACCACTGTGGCTTTGGTGTCTGTGGCATACTCTAAAGCAGTCACAAATGGTCCAGGCCCCAGGGCTAAGCCATCTTTCCTCTTGTAATACCTGGCTTTGTGGATTGCTATCAGAGGTGCCCCATCCAGGAGTAACCTAGGGAGACCGAGAAAATGGAAATTGGCTAAAAGCAAGGCTTCTATGACGGGGAAAGAATGTCAGACTTAGGAAGAGGTTTTATTCACACAGAAACAAATAGTTTCTTATTAACTTTTAATGACTTGATGTCTTCTAATGAATTCACAAAGAACTTCTGGGAATTACACTCAGATACACTAAAGAAAGGTGATAGATTATTAAATTTGGGATTGCTTCAACCTTTTACCTTTAGTGGTTTCAGACATTTTACCCAAATCGCCAGAGAAAGAGAATTAAGAGAACTAATGCTAAATAAGATACTCAAGGGAAGAAGCTTAACTTAATGAGACAAGTTGTTTCAACCTTCCCTAATGGTAGGCAGGAGGCTCTTGAGCCTTTTACAATACTACACAATTGTTGCTGCAGTGACATACTAAGTTAACTCCTAAAATATTTGAATTCCTGTTTCTTCTACTACAAAATCTAAGTTCCTTTTTAATTCAGAAATTTAATAGAGCATTTTACAAGAGTTTCTGCTTATACTTTTACCTCTTTATTCTACCTTTGACTGTTTTTGACATTACTTTGCAAGTCAGGCCGTCTTCCCTGAAGAACACACTAACGAGGTCTAGGGAGAGCTTTCGCTGTCAAGTCCCTTTCCTTCGTCCTGATACAGGACAAACAACACTCTCCCACCGAACAAAAGCGCATAAAGAGTTTTCCCCATTAGTTTGGTAAGCAAACGCTATGTACAGCTAAGGCTCCTCATTAGAGACAGGCAAAACAAAACAAATAGAAAAATCCCCATGAATTTAATATTTACCTCCCAATATCCATCTCAAAACACGTCATCATCCCAATAATGCACCCTTTAGTCACATGGCAGAAGTACTCACACACATATTATCATCTAATGGCATATAGGACATGACATATTTCTTAAACTGCTTTTAACCAATGTAATACCTCACTAGCTTAATTTACTTTAAGTCATCTAGTTGGTTAAAATATTTACTATGTCCATCGAGGAAAAATTCATCACATCTTACCCTTCAGTTACAAGTAATTAAGTGCTCAAGTATGAAACTGCTAAATTCTTGTCAGTGGGCATGGAAATGCCTTCCTATGGGAGATTCAGTATTCGGACATTTATGATTAAATATTTTATTAAGAAAAAACCAATATTGGACTATTACAGGGCCTTACTGTTTGTTACTACATATTGCTCACAGCATAGGAGAGATCCTTCAAATTTATTTACTCATATTAATACAAATTTATTTCGTAAAGCAGATCTTGAAATCCAACTGTTAGGAAACCTGGCAAAGCCACTCCACTGGCCTTAAAGACCTACAGCTGACAGCAATGAGATAATGCGATTTCTCTATCTCCCCTCCTGCCACCCCATCCCCAAGCCCATTTATTTGTTCCTCTACCTCGGAACTGAAATTCTTTATGCAACAGACCTCAAAATTGCTTTCCACTTATATAGCTAAACTAAAAACTCATTTGATTTAGCTTTGTTAATATTTTATTATATATTAACTGGAGATAAGACTTATCAGCCTGATTGATGTGCCTACTTAATTCCCAGGCAGTACTTCAGTGCCTGCCCTGGAAGAGTAGAAACTGTGGGTTCCTCCACATTTCTCTAAATGGGATCTGGTTCTACACTAGGCTGGAGAAGATATGCTTCTCTCAGGGAAATGGTTCCTGCTTCTCCTGTTCTTCTCTGCACAGCATAAACTTTACTGAATCCTTTGACGAGCCAAGGCATATTCAGGATGGACTGAGAGGTAAATGTTTTATAGGACACAGAATAAAATATCTTTTATAATCAAACATTTTTTAAATATCAAAAATAAACACCCTGATACCTGGAGTATTTTTATACTTATTAAACAGTTGGTTGTTACTATGGTTTGAATGTGTCCCCCAAAATTCATGTGTTGGGGCCAGGCGCGGTGGCTCACACCTGTAATCCTAGCTCTCTGGGAGGCCGAGGCAGGCGGATTGTTTGAGCTCAGGAGTTCCAAACCAGCTTGAGCAAGAGCGAGACCCCGTCTCTACTAAGATTA